CCCTACACGTTAATATCAAAAAAATATACAGGAAAGAGGAGGGAGAGAGGATCCCCGTCTATAAAACACAAAAAATACAGTTTACTCACCCTACATGGTCCTCTCCCCACAGTACAACTCACACAAACAAGAATCTCCAAAATATAGGTATACCCAGAAAATCAAAAAGCCCAAAAAAGAGTAATTTTGTGATCTTGCATAGTTGATAAATAACTTGAAGAGTGAAAAAGCGAAACATGCAGAAAGGATGTCTTCTGTTTAACAGAGTACGCCAAAAAGGTTTTCACGGGCAGCAAAGAAGCATCACAAATCTTGAGACGAAAACTGAGAACAACCTGTAGCAAAAAATAAAACCAGCCAAGCCCGCAAAAGAGAACCTGTAAACCCCAGCCAACAAACCGTAAGAAGCTCCAACAAATAATTAAAGCCGGACATAAGGCAAATTCAAACTATCCCCAATAATGAGTCTACGAAGAGGGACAAAGGGGTGGATGCCAACGTGACAGATCTCCCCTGCATGCTTGGCAAACCAATCAGCAGAGGAGTTGCCTTCTCTATGAATAAAACTCCAATTAACCTCAAGATTTTTTCATTTATGAAAGATAAAATTCGCTTGAAAGTGCCAACAATATCCCAAAGGAGAGGAGAGGCACCCATTAGAGTGTCATAAAGCATTTTAGAGTCCATTTCCACCTCTAATTTATGAAAGTTGCAAGCGTTAGCCACCAATAAAGCCAAATAGACTCCCCAACATTCCGCAGCCAAAGGATTTCCAACAACAACAGGGGAGGTGAAAAAACAGCGACACCTTCCCTCAGAATCTCTAAATAAACCCACTACCGCAGCATAATCAGGATGCCAACAGTCATCCACATTTAATTTAACATAACTAGGAGGGGGGAGCCCATCTAATAAGCCGGGGGGATTTTAAAACCTGAACCACAGAGGAGCCAGCTCTTAATACTTTATTGTAATATGCAATCACATAAGCAACAATCATAGAAGTAGTGGGGGGAGTTGTGTGATACTTAAAACTGTTTCTGGAGTTCCAAAGGAACCAGAGAACCAGTAAAGGGAGGGGGAATTCCTCCTGCCTGGTATCTAAATCCTTCCATTGCCACAAATAGCTAGTTAATGAGCCTCTATGCATCCAAGAAAAACCAAAATAAGATCCAATCATATCCCAAACTTCTAAAGAGAAAGCGAGAAAACACACTCAAATAAGATGTGTCTTATGTCTTCCTCCTTCATTTTGCACATATGACATCTTGAGGCCAATTTCAAACCTTTAAGCTTAAGAATATCATCCAATAGTATTAAAGAATTGAGATAACGCCAAAGATAAAAGGATATAGAGGGAGATAATGATTTATGCCAAATCAATTTTCCTCATAACCAATGACGATGTGAACGTAAATTGTCATAAATGAGTTTGCAAACCGATTGAGAATTGCTTCTTTTTCACATGGGGAGATCCTTTCGAGTAGGAGTAAGAGTAATAGTAAGAATATGCTTTGCATTTTGTTCCCCCACCATAGAACACAACTTAGGGTAATCCCAACCATCTTGAGAAAAGAAATCAGAGACCAATAAGGAATTAGGATGAGGAGAGTGAGTATAGCCAGAGTTATGTGAAAAGTCCCAGTTATCATTCAAGAAGAAAGTATTCCCATCGCCAATGTTCTAAAAGATAAAATCGTTTGTTGTGTCTCTAGCATTACCCACAGCCTTCCAAATACGAGAATCTCCCACCTTCCACGAAATCAAAGAAGGGTGAGTTTGAGCACAATATTTTTGATGCAAAAACAAAGTCCAAAGAGAGGAACTCGATCTGAATTTATATCATAGTTTGCAAAGGTTAACTACAACAGTATGTTTTAATGCCTTAAAACCAAAGTCACCAGCCTTTTTAGGCTTACAAACTTTATGCCAAATACTCCAAATTTTCTTAGCACCATTCCCCACCCAAAAAAAATTATCAAAGAGTCTCTCCATCATAATAATAGCACTTATCTTGCGGTTGAACACTTGCAAAACATGTAGTAGAATACTTTGAAGAACACTAGAAAGCAAAGAGATCCTGCCCCCAGTGGAAAGGAAAACATTTCTCCAATCATTAATTTTACGTTTGATTTTATCAATCACATCATCCATATGTATTTGTTTCCTCCTCCCCTTATCAAATTTATCCCAAGATATTTAAGAGGAAGAGTGGTATGATGAAAACCAGTAAATGTAACACCCCATTAAATAAGATGTTGTTTAACCTGCTTGCCAAAAAGTATCTGACACTTGTAACCATTAAAGCGAAGGTCAGAGCAGTTCTGATAAATCCTGTAAAAGCCCTATCACTTGTTTTATAGCAAGTTTAGATGCATTAGAAAAAATAATAACGTCATCAGCATAAGCAAGGTGGGAGACCATCATGTTAGCTTTATGAGAAAACTGAGAGCATGAGGATGTAAGAACTGGAAATGGTTAAGCAACCTGGAAAAATAGTCAAAGCTAGAATAAAAAAGATAGGAGAAAGGGGGTCTCACTGTTTAATGCCACGAGAAGTAGTGAAAAATCCATAAGAGTTTCCATTCACTAAGACAGAGTAAAAGTTGTTAGCAAGCCATCTTTTAATCAAAGAGCAAAAACTTGTATTGAAACCCCTAGCTTTCAGCCTAGCTTTCAGAACGTTGATAATGAAGTCCCAATTTATAGTGTCGAAGGTTTTCTTGATATCTAATTTGATAACCAGATTACCGCCCCTGCATTTTTTATCCAGATCCTGTAATATTTCTTATGCCAAAGGAATATTATCAGAAATGTCTCGACCTTTAATGAAGGCCGACTGAAGGGAAAATAAGAGAAGGGATGTGAGGTTGGAGACGAGCCACAATCAATTTATTAATAATTTTAGAAACAACAAAGGTTAGAGAGATGGGCCGAAGTCCTTCCACTGTGATTTTGCATTAGATTTAGGGATGAGAACAGTCAAAGCAGCAGAGAAGTATTTCCCAGGATCAACCCCCTGAAAGAAACTCTGAATAGCAAGCACTACGCCGTGCTTAATAATGTTCCAACAGGAAATATAAAAAGTGGATGTGAAACCATCTGGACCGGGAGACTTCTGAGAGCTAATATCTTTGAGAGCAGTAAAAATTTCCAACTCAGTAGAGGGTTCAGACAAGGAGAGGGTGGAGACCATGTCTCTTTGATCCTAAAAAAAATCAGTAATAATATCCTTAACCAGTAGAGTATCAGCACAAAGAGAAGAGAAATAGTCAGCCGCATTGGAACCAATCTGGTCAGTATCAGTGAGGGTCAGTATCAGTGAGAACACAATCTTTATAATTGTATTTATATTACAACGATGCTTGATAGTAGCATGAAAATACTTGGTGTTTCTGTCCCCATTCTTGAAATGGTTGTCACAAGCTTTCTGTCTAAGGAAATCCTCCTCAATTGAGATTTCCTCTAATAGGTTGTGATGAGCATCAACTAATTTGGACACAAGATCAGGAGTGCCAATCAACTGTGCTTCTAAAGAATCAACCTCCTGCTGGGCCTTCAAAACCCTAGAGTGAACATGGCCGAAGGTATCAATGTTCCATCTCTTTAAATGTGAAACCACATTTTTATGGAGTTGCCATAAAATGAGCCACGGGTTACCACTCCATCTAGAAACCCAAGCCTGTTTAATCAAGTCAATAAAAGTAGGGTGAGAAGCTCAAACATTAAGAAATTTGAAATGATAGCGAGAAGGTTTGGAATGAAAAGTTAAGCTGAGCAATATAAGATTATGATCTGATGCAGCATGATTCAGATGTTTGACATGTATAATATTATAGTAACCCAAAAACTCTGAGTTTCCCAGAAATATGTCCAAGCGTTGTATAAGAAAACCCCGCCACCAAGTATAAGGAGGACCAGAAAAACCTAAATCATAAAGGTTAATATCCTCAATATGTTCACAGAATTGATTTATAGAACTCGTGTCAACCTTATTACCACCCATCTCTCAGAAGGTGACATAATCATATTTAAATCACCTCCAACGAACCAATTATCAGTAATAGCAAAACTCATATGAGTAAGTTGCTGTCAAAGGAGTTTATCCCTTAAATGAGAGCTGGCGTAAATAAAGGTAGCCCAACTTGAAAAATTCTCATATTGATACTGAATAAGAACAATAAGAACATATTGCTGAATAAGAACATATTGCATATTATCATCAATGATTTTAAGAATGATATCCTTCTGCCAAAAGAGCCAAATTTTGTTATTGACATTACAGAAATGCAAATATCCCTTGAACTTATTGATGATGTTATCTTCATGTATCGAGACAAGAGGTTCCAAAAGAAAAAAATACCAGGTTTATGGACCCTACATAAATGCTTTAAACGATTAAAGAAGTGAGGGTCCAAGTGAGGGTCCGCTACTCCTCTAATGTTCCACACCAAAATATTAAACAATTTGGCCCATGACACCCTCCCACCTAGCAAGCCTAGGGGGAAGGTGCAAGTGCTCACCTTCCGAATGATGAGAGACATCAATATTGTTTGTTTGTATCATACTTGGAAGCTCAGATTTCCTTCTCTCTTTTTTCCTACTATATCTTTGAATTTTTCATTCAGATTCTAAAACAGAGGCGGCTAAAGACAATGGATCATGTTGTAATGAATTAGACACAGAAGCAGAGAGGTGAGTGATAGCTTGTGAGGGATCAACAACTTCCAATTGATTAAGTGACCAGCAGGCATGTGAGGGAGGGGGGGCTCGGTTTCAACAATGGGTGTAACAGAGGGTCCACATTATCAACCTTTCTAATAGGCCCCTCCTCAGCTGCAGGAAGAGGCACATTGGTTGCCTCCAAACAGGGAGCAACCATATCAACAGGACCCATGCAAACATCAGCAGACTGCGCAACAGGTTCAGAGAAAATAGTAGGTATAGCCGATTTCTGCTCAACAGAAGCAACAGGACCAGCAGGAAGCTTCTTTAGGTCGGGGTGCAAGTGAAAACAATGGTCAGAATCATGACCAAACATGCTACAATGCAAACAGTAATGATGATGATTTTCAAGCAAAACCGGCTGCCAATAACCAGTATGACTAGAGCCAATCCAAATCTCCTCCGGAGGAGGTAAGGTAACATCCCTTTCTATTAAAATTCTAGCGACTGAGAGTCTTGTTAAATTAAAGGTAGGGGCATCAAGCATTAGAGGCTTACCATACATGGCAACAATAGAAAACAGTATTTCGTGATTGAACAAATGCACCTTCAGACCTGGAAGTCAAAGCCAGACAGGAATAATAGGAAGCTCGGTTTTAGGGTTAAAATCGGTAGTCCATTTAAGGACCTTCATCCAAACATCACCAAAATTAACAGTTCTAACAGTTCTACGAATTAACAGTTCTACGTGCAAAAATCTTAGCATAATCATCTTCGTTAGAGAGCTATATCAGAATATGTCGGTTATCCAAAGCCCCAATCTTCCAGCCCCCCGATAACTTCAGAAGCTCAAAGTTCTTCATCAAAAAATCGTATTAGGGAAGTCCATAAAGGAATTTACCAACTAGATGAAAGCGCAAGCAGAGGCGAGAATAGAGTTTTCAGAATCAGAGAGAAAGAGAGCACATTTCCCCCGCTTACGACCCTGAGATTTAATGAAACTGTATTCTCCACCAAGAACAAGTGATTCGTGAAAGGAGGATGGAAAAGCAAACTTCGGAGGAGACCCAGGGGAAGAAGCCCCCGCAGTGACCACGGCGTACGTCTTAGCCATACCCGAAAAGATAAGGAAAAGTTGGGAGAAGAAACCAAGTGCGAGAGGGAGGCCAAAACAAAAAAACCAGAAAGATCTCACTAGGGAGAGGCCGTCGAGAACGAGCGAGCACCGTCAGCATCCCCGAGTTGCCACAAGATCGCCCATAGCTCCAAACCCTAGCAGAGCACTCGCGTCGTCCATCGTTTTATATATTTTTATATAATTGAATATATATATATA